GATTTTTCTCAAAAACTACGCTCCCGAATGTGAGATATTGGTCTTATTGTGTAGAACGGGTTGTGGAAAACTCTCCTGCATAAGCGGCTACGCCCAAAGTCTTTGATGCAACAAGTTATGATCCTCGGAAAAATCAAGTTTTGATTTTTGACTGTTTTTAGAAACTTTTTGATTTTCTCGGTGACTACCCTCGCAAATCTGACATTTTGGCTTCAATGGGTAAAACGAGTTTTTTGAGGCTCTCCTTCATCAGCGTTAACGCCCAAATTTTGTTGCACAAAAAATTTTGACCCCTGGAAAAGTCAAATGTTCGATTTTTGAACAAATTTTGAAACGTTTTGACTTTTCTCAAAGACTACTCTCCCGAATTTGAGTTATTGGTATCAAAGGGTAGCACGAGTTTTGGGGAGCTCCTTTGCGCAAACAGTTACGCCCAATTATTGTGCAAAAACTTATGACCCTCGGAAATGTCAATGTCAATGTTTTGATTTCTTTTCCGTTTTTTTTAGTTTTTTTTCTACTTCTCGAAAACAACTCAATCTGCTATCAAGGATTTAATCAAAGCAACAGGTTGGGAGAAGACTCCAAACATAAGATGCTACGCCTTAAAGTTTGAAAAAAATGCGTCTGGAAAAATTTCAAAATCACAAAAATTTTCACTCATTTTTTAATAGAGCAACAGCTAACGTTTTGGGAGAAGCCCAATCCCTAAGTTTTTGAAAATATCTACTTCATCCCGCATCAATACAACAAACTCAAAAATTATCAAACAGGTACCTCCCGCTTCAGCTGGACTTCTAGTTTTTTTGTCAGTGAAATTGGCTATCAACGTTTTTTCATAAAAATATGGAATTGTATGACAAAAAAGTACCAAATGAACAATCTCCACATTGAAGTTTATCTAAGGGGAAGTTTTTAACTTGATTAAAACTAATACAATTCAGATAATCAGGGTTGAGCATAGTACATGCAGTCTTTTTTGGCTGAAATTTACCGTTTAGCATTATGGGGAAGATTGTTCATTTGGTGTCGAGAAAAAAACATCGATTTGGACGTTTTTCCGGGAAATTTTATTATGGTTATTTGATTGAGTACCTTAACACAACCCGCTTAAAATTTGACCTATATGAGCACCAGAGTGCCTTCAAGGACCGTCAAAATGACATTTGTATAATTTTGGTCGAATATCCCATAAGACCCGCATTTCTGTAACAAGAGTAAGCATCTTAAGAATTTTGTTTTATTGTGTCCTTTTTTGAGGTCAAAAATAGTGTTTGCAAAGATTTGATGCTCGCATCTGATCGAAATCGGCGACAACCTTAGGTTAAATTATAAAACCTTAAAACAATTAATGACACAAAACAAAAAAACAATAGCCATGTTTTTGCTACTTAAGCCCCTCCCCTCAATTCTTGTTGCCAAATTTTTCTACAGGGTCCTCATTTGATATTATTACTTCATTTTTGGCGGTCAACCTTAGAAAAATAAGTAAATTCTCAACAAAACTCAATTTAATACCAAAGTAACTAAGTAAAAAAGGCTGAAAACGTCATTTTTTAGCCTGTTTTTTTTTTCTTCTTCAAAATTTTGACTTCGGCGCAGAAAAATTTTGAGAAAATAGTGTCCTTTTTACATTTTCGGAGAGCTCGGAAAATCAAATTGGTCGATCTAAAAGCATGATCAACAAAATTTTTGTCAAAGAAAAATAAATTGAGCTATCATATATTATTATTCGATAATATTTTTTCAGTTAGAATGACAATCATCAACTATCGGCTTTTTTGATGCGGTTTGAATGAATGCATTATGGGGAAGATTGTTCATTTGGTGTCGAGAAAAAAACATCGATTTGGACGTTTTTCCGGGAAATTTTATTATGGTTATTTGATTGAGTACCTTAACACAACCCGCTTAAAATTTGACCTATATGAGCACCAGAGTGCCTTCAAGGACCGTCAAAATGACATTTGTATAATTTTGGTCGACTATCCCATAAGACCCGCATTTCTGTAACAAGAGTAAGCATCTTAAGAATTTTGTTTTATTGTGTCCTTTTTTGAGGTCAAAAATAGTGTTTGCAAAGATTTGATGCTCGCATCTGATCGAAATCGGCGACAACCTTAGGTTAAATTATAAAACCTTAAAACAATTAATGACACAAAACAAAAAAACAATAGCCATGTTTTTGCTACTTAAGCCCCTCCCCTCAATTCTTGTTGCCAAATTTTTCTACAGGGTCCTCATTTGATATTGTTACTTCATTTTTGGCGGTCAACCTTAGAAAAATAAGTAAATTCTCAACAAAACTCAATTTAATACCAAAGTAACTAAGTAAAAAAGGCTGAAAACGTCATTTTTTAGCCTGTTTTTTTTTTCTTCTTCAAAATTTTGACTTCGGCGCAGAAAAATTTTGAGAAAATAGTGTCCTTTTTACATTTTCGGAGAGCTCGGAAAATCAAATTGGTCGATCTAAAAGCATGATCAACAAAATTTTTGTCAAAGAAAAATAAATTGAGCTATCATATATTATGATTCGATAATATTTTTTCAGTTAGAATGACAATCATCAACTATCGGCTTTTTTGATGCGGTTTGAATGAATGCTTCTCTACGGTTAAAATAACCTAAGAACTGCTTGTTTTTATCTTTTTTTTTCAGTCAAAATCAGTTTTATGGAAAATTTTTGTTGAATATGTACACCATAAGTTTTTTCAGAACTTGAAGTTCGAGTTGAATCTAGAAGTTGTTCTATAAGTACGTTATTGCAGTTTCATTAAACAGGTAGTAGATATCTCTCGAAACATCAGTATTCAGACACACCTCACACCTCACACCACAAAAACCAATAAAAACTTCAAAAGGTCTCGAAATTAAAAATTAAAATTGGGGAAGTGGTCGGGATTATCTCAAAAAAAATCAAGTTTGGTTCAGTCGAAGTCAAAAAATAGCCGCATTTGGACGACTATGTTGAACTAAAGCACGAAGCTTGCGTGGAATTGGTCGGAACAGAGTTTGCTTGAGATTAGCACAGTCGAATACATTTCTGCTTTGGTCGGGCAAGACTGAAAAATCAAAATTTACTTGGCAGAAAAAAGCATATGCTTGGATCAAAAACACTCACACACAATTCGACCATACTTTTTTCAGTGAAACTTGTCAAAATTTGAGTTGAAGTCTTGATCCCCGATTCCCGAAAGCAGCACAATTCAAAAATGCTAAGAAAAAATGGTTCAACATACATTTTCAAAAAATACTTCTTTGGAACCCGTACCCAGTAAATTTTCTGAAACAGATCTGAAATTATCTAATTCAAATCTAAATTTCAGATCTGGAATAGGTTGTGAAATGTTTAAATAACGCATGGATACTTTAAGGATGGGCTATTTCAGATCTGAAATTTTCTTTTTCTTGGCTATTTCAGATCTGAAATTTTCTTTTTCTTGGCTATTTCAGATCTGAAATGTTCTTTTTCTTGGCTATTTCAGAGTAAAATTACTGTTTCATTTTTCGTAAAATTACAGGGGTTTAGACATTGCCATCTTGACCAATTTGGGACAATTGGGAGAGTTAATCCGTCTTAGAAATCGTTCCAAATTGTTTAAAAGAAGCTTATTTGCCATAATTGGTTTGTTACAAGGAGCGAAATCTATCCTTTTGTACTTTATATGGCGTGCGGGGGGATGATTTTCATAAAAAAATTCAAATTTTAGAATTTTTTTTCTCATTTTGTTTTATTTCTAAAATGTTATTTTTTAAAAATTTTTGAATGTTATTACTGCTCCATAAACCTTAAATGGCAATCGGAACATTCAGGGCTTCGCCCTGATACGAGCAGTCCTGTTAACTATAGTTTTGATATATAGGAAGTATAATATTTTCATGCTCAAAAAGACACGTAACAAAACTTCAAGAGTCAATTCGAAATTTTGAAATTTTCATTTTTTATCAAAAAAAAATAATTTTCAGATCTGAAATTGGCTAATTCTTATCTAGGATCTGAACTAAAGAATTTCAGATCTGAAAATTAACTTACACAAGAAATAAAGAATTTCAGATCTGTTTTAGAAAATTTACTGGTTACGGGGAGCTTGTTAACTACCCTTCCCCCTTCATAGTACCTAGTAATGAATTACGACAACTCTTAAAAAGAACTAAAACACGAACGGTTGAGCATATTTAATTTTTTCTACCTTGCAACTAAATTCCATCAATTAACGAGCTTGCAATGGGGGGGGGGGTATTTGAAAAAATACCTTTTGTGTCCCATGACTGCAATACCAGAAAAAAAGAACTTTAATCTCATCAATTTTGTCTAATAGTCTCAAAGGAGAAAATTTATGAAATCTGCCGGTCTGCCTATGTCTGATCTTTTTTCCAGAAACAATTGATTATCTAAACAAGCGCATTCCGGCTTTTAAGCCCCGCAGGCTTAATCTGATAGCAGCAGAATGTCCGTCTTCAACTATTATTATACACCATGTCAGCTAGTAAACTCTATATTGAATTTAACAGACTTTACCCTGAGGTCTGTGAGAAAACAAAGCAAAAGCATATGCTAATTTAATATGCACCACCGGATATTGTGATTAGTCGACCGCTAAAAAATGACATTACACGCGACTAAACTCTGAAAAATGGAATCATAACTTTTCATTTGAGCGAAAACAACACAGGTTAAAATATAAAGTACACGAACTTGTCTCATTTCAAACAGGCATTAAAAAATGCACATCGTAAAAGAGGTCTCTTAAATGTAATTAAAAATTCTGAGGAGGCCGATATTACTTTTTTGTCGTTTTTGTTGTTTTTACGATTCCACGCGTTGTATATCACTTTTTTGTTGCTTTTAATTTGTTTTTCTGAAATTAGGCTTTTCGGGCGGTATGCTCTGTGCGCGGTCAAGGACTGACGCCTGAAGTCTCTCAATTTTATCTCCGGTTCGATCCGCAATATTGGTTGGAGCTTCCTGGCTTATTTCATTATGTGCCACAGAAGCAAAGACGACAACTACGCTACAGATATCCATACCACCACGGAAAATTGCTATTCCCTCTCCGAGCTGTAAAACAAGGCAGGATTATTTTTCCCTTTCTTTGGAAATATCAGCATAGATACAGCACCACGGTTCAACAACCGTTTGTATATATCGAGTCGAGATCCAATACACGAAAATGTTGGTGTTTTCCCTGTGTAAAACTGTAGTACCGTTGTATAATCTAAATGTAAATTCCCCGTTATATTTTCACCACCAAAAAGGCTTATCTCTAAAAGATAAGGAAAAAGAATAAGCCGCTTTTTTTTCGGTGACCATCTTTTTATACATGAGATGTATAAAACTTGAAGACATCAAAATGCAGCCTGAAAGCACCAAATTTTTTCCTCCCAATTAAATTCCTTTTTATCTTTTCAACCGAGCTGAACAGGAAAATGGGAAACATAAAACGGGAAAAATAGCACTTTTCTCAGCATAACTGCCGATTTCAAGACCTCCATTTGATACCTAGGTGAATTCTAAGTTCAAACTAAAAACGTTTCTAGGTCTGAAAATTAGCAAAAATCTTAATAAAATTTAATGCGCGAGTGTATCTCTAATATTCCGTTTTTTTTTTGTTAATTACAATTGAATTGTTCAATTAGAGTTTTTTCGGTATCTGTTTATTAAGACAATCTCGGCCGACCTTCATTATCATACAATCTCGAATTTACCACCGCGAGGAAAGAACATCAAGTTCTTTGCCTCATTTTTGCAGTTGTGTTTTTCCCATTTTACGACAAAATTCACACTTTATCTGTTTATATAACCTATTTTATGGCTGCTTATTCCAAAAAATAGATATTATTTTTTGCTTGTTATTCTGTGCAGTGCAAAATTTGATTTGCCATTTACCATTCAAAAACTGAAGTAGAAAGAAAATGCAGTTATTTCCTCTGAGGCATATTTCATTCAGCTTTAAATAATTCCTGTAAATATTACAGCAACAGCATAATTGCTACTTTTCACAAAATTCAACAAAAATTGAACTTTATCAAGAGAAATACGGTTTTTAATTCATTCTTTTTTCTTGCAAGAATAATACATTGAGAATAGTAAGTTGAATAATACATTGCTATTACCATTACGTTTTCTAACAATATGATGAAGTTTTGGGAAGAAATCGTGGTTCTTGTCATATGCTGTGTCTCTTCATTCACAACTGCAGTAGATGTCGACAAGAAGGACCAACTAGCATCAAGGTCAGTGAGCCGACGAAGATGTCGAACAATTGAAGAAAGAAATAAACAATTTTTTTTGTGCATGGCCAGGGGTTTCGATCTACGAGTTTCTCGAGAAAGCGTAATTCATTTTCAAAAAATTGTTGCGGGGTACATATATATTTCAGCAAGCCTTAAAGTTTTGAAAATTTCCAAAAAAAAATTGTTTTTAAGTACCACACCGAGCACAATTGTTTCGTTCCTTTTTCAAATGTCGGAACAGAACTGCAGGTTTTTTCTACTTTCAGTTTTGCAAATCGTTGTTGAAAAAAAAATAAAATGTTAATATTTGTGTGTGTGCTCTGACTTTGACTTATATTTTGGTTGCTAAATACGGTCGCCAAACATCGTGAAGGTCCAAATTCAAAGTTTATTTACAAGAAAAAATTTTTGCGGGCAGAGATAGTTCCTTTTCAAAAAGGAACGATTCACTGCATTTTTCTTTACAAGAAGGGCATTTGGTAATCGATAGCTTAGTTTTAAAGAAAAGAAAAAGCTTTTTTTTTCCAATTTTTCTAGCGAGAAACACGTTTGCTTATAGAGGTTCCACTCCGCAGGCAATTTTGCATTTTTAGAAAACTCTCAAAGATGCAATTAAAATAACTGAAATTTGAAAACTCATTTATTATTTCTTGATAGGATAAGATCTCTAAACTTTGAAAATCAAATCCGTCAAAAACATCAGCAAAAAAACCCAACAATTCAGCTTGCTCAATTCAAGTTGGACTGATTTAATCCGGCTCATAAATCAGTCCAACGTGAATTGAGCAAGCTGAATTGCTGTTGTTTTTGCTGATGTTTTCGATGAATTTGATTTTCAAAATTTCGAGATCTTATCCTATCAAGAAATAATAATTGAGTTTTCAAGAAGCAGTTATTACGTACACAAAAAAAATTACAAAATTTTTGTTATTTTAATTGCATCTTTGAGAGTTTTTTAAAAATGCAAAATTGCCTGCGGAGTGAAACATATAAGCAAACGTGTTTTTCTCGCTAGAAAAATTGGAAAAATTATTTTTCTTTTTTTAAGCTTTAGATATAACTGATTACAGTAAAATGTTTTCAAATTGGTTCCATTCATCATCAAAAAATTCATCATCATCAAAAATTGTAAATAATCTTAGCCCGAGTCTAAGGATCATTTTTAACACAGATGGTTCTTGTATGTCAACTTCTTAGTCTTTTCATCGTATTATATACCAAAAGTGTTTTCTTTACCTTCACTTCAGTTATAAAAGTGTTTTTCCTCAGATAAGACGTTTCTTCGAAATAATTTAAATATGCAACTCTCTAACATTGCATAGGTTATGCCGATCTCTTTAGTGTCGTATACTGTCAAATTTTCTCAGTTTGAATTCTGTCTGATCAAAATTTGCTGGTTTTCCACCTTCATTAATTTCATTTCATTTGCTGTTCCAAATAATAACACTCTAATTTGATAAACAGATTTAGCATATGTTTCGAAAAAAAAGAAAAGCTGCATTTGATTGAAATAAAAAAATTATCGATATAACATAGGTTGTGATTTCAAACTTCTTTTTTTTTACTTTTTTTACTTTTTTTTACTATCATGTTTCTATTTCAGTATAATACTAAAAAGTACTTTTTTGTATTTCATTCCAAAAAAAATTGAGTGTTTGTGCTTTATTATTTTCTTAACAAAACTGTATAATCAGGAACATAAAAAAACAATTAAAGGAGATTAGAGTAAATTATTATCGCTTTTTTCAACTCTTTCATTGATATGCAACTCTCTAACATTGCATAGGTTATGCCGATCTCTTTAGTGTCGTATACTGTCAAATTTTCTCAGTTTGAATTCTGTCTGATCAAAATTTGCTGGTTTTCCACCTTCATTAATTTCATTTCATTTGCTGTTCCAAATAATAACACTCTAATTTGATAAACAGATTTAGCATATGTTTCGAAAAAAATGAAAAGCTGCATTTGATTGAAATAAAAAAATTATCGATATAACATAGGTTGTGATTTCAAACTTCTTTTTTCTTACTTTCGTTATCTTCTTGTAATTAAGGTCTGTTTCAAATACAGTACCTAAATGTTTTGCCTGTCAATTCATTAAGCACTTAAATACTTTTTGTTTTTCCGTTTGTTGTTTGTCATTAACATCAAAACTATCAAGATAAAAAAATTAGAAAATCAAAATTTGCCAAATCAGAATTTAAACAAATATGCCAAAACTTGGATTTTTCAAAGTCATCAAAGTTGTTAAAATACTGATTTGGCCTTCCTACAAAATTTTAAAAATTTTTTTATTTTTGATCTTGATTTTTTTGTTGCTTGATTGTAACTGGTCGTTACGGTACAAATTGAGCAAACGTTGCTTTTTCAAAGATGCATTTTTAATCTTATTACTTATTCAAACGCATGCATTTTGTGTTTTTTTTTGATAAAGGCAAACTTGTTAACTGTTCTGTTGAGTATTTCATTCAGGGCTCTTATCATGTTTCTATTTCAGTATAATACTAAAAAGTACTTTTTTGTATTTCATTCCAAAAAAAATTGAGTGTTTGTGCTTTATTAATTTCTTAATAAAACTGTATAATCAGGAACATAAAAAAAAACAATTAAAGGAGATTAGAGTAAATTATTATCGCTTTTTTCAACTCTTTCGCCACAAGATTTTCTGCAAGCAAAATCTAAACTTATGTTTTTTTTATGCAAAAACGGAAGTTTACAATACGCTGCGCTAGCCAACTTTTTTTTCCACCTCCTTAAAGTGGTCGGAACAAAAACTGCAACCGTTTATTTGAAGTTAAACAATTATTTTTTCATCATGTGCTTTTCAAATCAATGGCGTTTTCAAACTAAAAATTGTGCCCTGCCTCTCAGGGGTGCATCTACGATTTTCTCGAGGGGGGGGGGGATTTTCAAAAAATTTTCAAAAATTTTGTCGACCTTTTTTTAGGTCGACCAAATAGATTTTTCGAGCTCTCCCATTTTTTGTTCCTATTTTGGCAAAACTTTCTGCACCGTGCGCAAAGTTTTGAAAAAACAGGCCAAAAAAGCGTTTTCAGGCACTTTTTGGAAAATTTTGACCAAAAACTTACGTTTTTTCGGCGCGCGCTCCCCCTCAAAATTAGTATATATTGGCGCCAAAGGCACTTTTAGAAAATTTTTAGGGTCCATCACCAAAAATGGATATCTCAAAATAGTACAAAGGGGGGACCCTTTGAGTTCGCCCTCCGCCACATCCCCTAAATCCGCCCTTGCTGCCTCTCTTACTACCCTATTTTAAATATTAAGAGAAATGATTAATTTTTGTCCTACGTTGTGAAGTTGATCGTGTTCAAAAAACTAAAATTCTTCTACTCATAAAAAACACCTACTAATAAAACGCGCTAATAAAAAACAACCACTCTAAAACATGCCTTAAAAGACATCCACAATTGACCAAAAATCATATCAGATTAAAGAGCGCAATTTTTTCAATTAAGTCATTACTATTTTATCAATTTTCAGGAAGTTGTCAAAAAACACAATTTTAATTCCCCTCGAAATGCATTAATAAGTCAGCAATCACAAGCTGTTTAACCAAGTTTTCAATCAGTGAGATTTTTTCATCAATGGAGAATTTTTAATATGCTATAGCGTGGTTGCTAGCCTCGTTTATGATGGAAGCACCGAATGAGTGAAATTAAGCTTTTAACCAATCAGATTTGTAGAAAATTCGTAACAAGTTACCATAAAAAATGACTGACTGCAAAAAAGGTATATCTAAGTGCCGAAAACCGACAACTCGTGGTTTTATAGACAACTCGTGTTTGAGCTCGGAAAGCTCGCAACGCGTATCGACCCGATTGCATTATTTTCTGATTTTAATTTGTCTGACATTAACAAGAATGCTCTGAATTTAATTTTAAACAAATTTTGCGATTTTTTAAAACATTTTGCTCAATTCTGATTGGCTTTTTCTTTCCATCATCCGGTCTATCCATAGTGTCTAAGAAAAAAATTATACGGCACCGTTTCCCGGCCCTGGCCCTTTTGCGCGTTTTTTGATTTTTCCGCACTTGTTTTTTTCTCAGTATTTTCTCAGATGTTCATAACCGCGGTATGATTGTTTCGAGAAAAACCAGAGTGAGTGAGCCTTTGCGCAACAGAAGTTAACCACATTTTTTTTTCTGCTCTCGATCAGTTCTACTTAAAAATTACATTTTGGATGCAATTATAAACAAGTTCATGTAGGACAAGTAATATTATTTTTGATTGATGTTTTTATCATAACTTTTTTTAGAAATTTTTCAAAAGTTTTTCTTTTTTTCCGCCCTAAATTGGTCCAGCTTCGCCTAAATAGCTTGCCTTAATTTAGCGTTCCTTATCATGAGAGATTAACTCCTGTAAATTGAGAGAATGTACAAAAAAAAAACGAAACAAAAAAACGATCGCAAAACGAAATCCGGTAGCAGAAAGCGACCAAAAGCAGAACGAACTGAATACACAAGATTATAATTAACAAAAACATTTTACCTCGCTATTCTGTGCTTTGTATGGGGAAAGATTCCATATTCAACTTCAAATCCACTGATGCTTCGTGGCTTAGGCATGGTCTAAAAGTTAACTCTGCTTTCTTTTATTTGTTTATTTGTGCAAAAGGCGAATCTTCCACTTGCACAATGGATGTACTCAAAGTTGCTCTTTTTTTTTCAGTTTGACCAGTCAGTTTGTATTTTTATGCTTATGGAATAATCTTCTTTTAGGCTGGCCTCCTCAAAAGAAACAAATATTTAGGATTAACTTCAAATTTTTAATGAAAAGAAGACGCCACGCTGTTGCTAAAACGGGATCTCTTTTAGTATACCTTTTTCCAAAGGGAGATTCGTTACTATAGGTACAACTTTTACATATGCTTAACCCTTGAATTACTTCTTTATGGGGGGGGGGGAGGGTGGGCCAATTCGTTACTATGTAGCCTAGAGGAAAAATAGTCGTTAAAGAGATCCCTAAAACGAATCGATTTTTTTTTCAATACCAGGAAAAAATTATGAATCAGAACCTCCTTGTATCAAAATTGCTGTCACTGTTTTGGACGGAGTTTCTGTTTTTTTTAAACAAAAATCAATCATTTTTTATTTTTCATTGCAGCGTAACAGACGGTCAACCCATTGGCGCTACAACTGAACCCACAGCGCAAAAGTACCCTTATCTCAAATCACGAGATGATCTCGTCAAGGTCATAACCACAATGTCTCAAGGTCAAGTATTCTCCCAGAAAATTGACCCCAGCTTCTATTTCAAATGGAGTGATAACACAAACAGGTCAATTGCTTTATATATGGCTACTGAGGATAAAAATAATTTATCCATGTTCGAGTCTATATATTTTGACGACGATACGAATCGCATTTGGGCGCTTCCTATGAGCGACAACGCGGGTCAAAATAATTACCACATCATGGCCAGAGGATACGGAGACAACGTCACTAGTTACCCTTATGAGGTTCTAGTCATGCCAAACATTAACAGTCCAAACCACAAAATAATTCTACATTTCGAGTATAACTACATTCTCTTCGAGGCGTATCTGCCTTATAGACTTGAGTTGTTGCGGCTTCTAAGCGTAATACTTGGCGACGGGGGTTCCTTCGAAAACCTTACTCTGGACTCTTACGAGAACACAACTACAAATGGAACCTCCCAAATGCTAATCCGAATCAGTAATTCTTCAGTAGGCTACAATCCCTGTAACAAATCTCAAATGAACAAGATTCTCAACATGTACGGGAAACTTTCGACTGGAATCAACAACGACCCACACGCTTATGTGGCCGACCAAATGGGAAATTATAAACTTTTCAAGGTCGAGTTGGAGCTCATTGGCCCGTGTGCTAGCATAGCCGAACGATTGAAAACCGACGAAAGTTCTGTGCTCTCCAGCGTCTGGCTCAAGGTCGCATTTGGCATCATTTTGGCGCTCTTATTGATGGGAGCTGCAGTAGCAACTGTTGTTTGTCTTTGCAGACAAAAGAAGCTTCGCGCTGCTGTTTCAATCAAAAAGACAAATTCATCCTCGCTTTCCAAACATTCGAACAAAACCATAACGACCGATTCAAATTTTTTCACCGTGAAATCGAAGCACGTTCCGGTTATTTTTGCCGACGAGTATGACGAGCCCTCTTCCCTCAACCAGATATCGGCGGCCTCTCCCTTGATCTTGAAAAACGAAAAGCCTCCCGCGAAAGACTGTCTTCCCCCCATGAAACACGTAAACGGGTCTCTAAATCATTCGCCGATGAACGGACCTGTTGATTTCGACTTCTCCTTTGATACACTAGCTCCGAATGGGAACGGATCGTTGTCGTCGTGTATGCTAAACAATGCGTACCCGGGGTCTACGATCATGCACGGGAACTCACAGTGTTCAAGCGTATCGCATCGGTATTGTCCGTCTCAGTATAGGCCCCCACCTCCATATAAGCCACCTTCAAAGGCCATAGTCCCAAGTTAACTATGCTATCCCTCAAAAACTGTGTTTGACCAATTTCTCGTGTTCAATGTTTTTGAATTCAAGTTTTGTAATAAGTTCCGACAATGCTTTGAATTGAAATTGAAATCTCTGCAATAAACTAATAATTGTGAGAAGGGGAATTTTTTCTTAGTTGTATCCAGTCGATAAAATAAAGACTGGCTTTTGACTTAGATTGATTTTAATCTATTATGCTTGATTAAATTTAGAATTTTATCCATTTTTTTTTCAAAATGATTACAGATAGGGACATAAATAAACTAGACGTGAACAAGCTTGTTCAAATAGTTTTGGACATGAGCTCAATTTTCGACCAATTGAGCAATCGAGCCCCCGCACACACCTCAGTTTAAAAATTTATTTCATTTATTGAAATAGGCGCTCATTGATTTGTTAAAAATTACTCCATTTGAAACAATTGCCAGATTACCAGTTAGTTGAGACACATAATGAGTTAGCCCAGTTTCTCCCGCTGAAAATTTTTTATTTAAAAAAATTTGTTACACTTGTTTTTCACCACCAATTTTTAAGAAAAACTAGAAACTTCTCGAAGGGGACAAATCTTTAGCAAAACGAAAAAAAAAATTTTTTCGGGCCAAAAATGACAGTTTAGAGCGTTTTTTGATAGGTTTCGAGCAAAAAAACGCAAGTTTTTGTCGCAAACTCTCGACCAAATTGAGGATCCTCTGTCTTAAGAGAAATTTTAGGGCCGTAGACTAAAAATAGATAACAAAAAAGGGTAGCATAAGATTATTTGCGTGGTGAGAAAAGAAGGTGAAATACTTGAGCCCCTGAAGCTCAAAGCTATTATCAAAGCTATTTTGAAGAAACCTGGATTACGGTGATTTAATTCTCCTCTTAGCTTGTAGTTCTACTTCAAGTTTAGAAAATCTATTTCAAGATGGTATAGTCATACCCTTCAGACATTTTGATCATCACGCGGAAAGAGTTGGATGAATTTGTTCTATTGATTGAATTCTGAACTAAAATGCTTTTTTTTTCAGGTTGAAAAGTAAACCGTAGCGGGTAAGAGAGTAAGTCCTTCTCGTTCCATTAAAAGTTCTAGAAATTCATAGAGGCCATCAAAAAAAATTTTTTTTTCAATTAGTTTTCCAAGTTCAGACTTTCGCGACCGAATTTTGGTATGTCTAGACTATCGCAACCCACGGTGCGACTCATGCCCAGACTTTCCAGACTCAAACTCTCGGCGCGGCTATGCAATTTGGGGGTAATTCCGGATGAGACGCGACCCTCATAGTCTGGACATCAGACTGGGACCTCGACCAGGGAATCTGCAATGATAGTCAACACGGGTGAAGACCCGCAAGCTAATTTAATGATTAAGTTCAATTGATAGCTAGAAAAGAACAGCAGTCTACTAGTCATGGCATGACCTTTGAGCTAAAGCCGATGAGCTCATTTATTGAGTTAGTTTTGTGTAAATACGCAGTCTCTTCGTCACGATATAGTGAAACCAATTGAAATATAGTATTTACATCCAAATATATTATTGATAAAACTATCTCGATAAAATATTTCAAACTAACCAATCATCATTCATAACTAACACTTACAATTAATTGTAAGGCTGAAACTATTCATAGTTTCAGCAACAGAACAAAATAATTATAACTTAAAAGAAAGTCGTTCTCCTTCAGAACAGTTCCAGATATCAAACTCGCAAAAAACCATTACACACTAGATCTATTGAGACTAGGAGGCATAAGAGAAAGCTTAAGATCGGTACTAGACTAAGAAGTTGCACGAATCTATCCGGCTGAAAATAAGATAGCATGACGAACAGACGGTGTACCATATCTGAAATTACTCTATGAGTGAGCCACCCCGGAGATAAACTCATCTGGTAAGACCAAGAGTCTCGAAAAAGACCTCAACAAATTTAGATTCAGCAAACTCAATAGAAATAAGATGAAAAACACATCACAAAATGTTCGATAGTATAGAAAACTTATTAGGTATGTCTCTACGTCTCAATAAGTCTAATCCGTTACTTCAAACTATACGGCAAACACCCGGTGCCCGAACAGCAGACCGAGACCCTATATCGTGAAACGATGCAGACTGCAACGAATATTTCTCTACAAAATTCTAAATGCAGTAGATTTTCATTCACTAACATGAAACAAAAACTACTTGGAGCAGTAAGATACATTTCCCAGCCATTTACCTCTCAATGATGTATAACCATATTATATAACACAATCACCACTGATAAAAAGATACGAATGTCGTTCATTTCCTTAAATCTGCAGTAACTTTAGAACAATTGTAAAATTAAAACTTTTTGAAAAAAAAAATAGTTGGTAGATAAATTAGAGTTAGATTTACTAAATTCATAAAAAATTTCTTGCTTCTCAAGAACTCGCGTCCTCATCCTCTCATTGCTGATTATTCTTCGTTTCTTTATATAAAATCTAACCATGATCAATTAGAAATTAAAGTTATTTAAATTTTTAACTTTTACATCAACCCTTTTAAAATTTATAATCTTTCAATAAACTCAAACTATAAATTTAGTTATTATCAAGGCTTATCTTTGTTTTGTTTTATTCTATTTTTTTTTCAAACTAGATCATCAGGGCTATCCTTGGATCTTTAATTTTAAACTAAGTTTTAAGTTTTCATTCATTCAAAAATATTTGATCATCAAGGATTTCGTTTGATCAATCAGAACAGTTCTGTTCTCCCCAACTTTTAATAAAAAATTTCTAATGACCTCAAACGTCGTTTCACTCTCCAAATTTTATCAGCAGCCCAAGATTATTACAAAATTTTGAACAAATAACAGTTTTAATTTAAGAAAAAACAGTGATCAATTTGGTTACTCATCCTTCACGTGAGCCCCTCCTCTTACTAGACCAAGGCTTAAACACATCATAAACTTAGTAAAAACTAAATGATTATCTAACGACCTACTTGTGTTATCTTTCTACCTGAAACTTGTGGATTGATTCACAATTTTCCAACCCTTGATCACAAATCACAACCGTAAGTAAGAATAAGTAAGTTTTTCTTAAAACAGAACTTGGCCACCGAGAAAGTACAAAATCACTCTAACGAACCGATATAATCTCTCTGCAACCCGTCTACAGTCAACAACATACGCCCCAAGATTGAGATAACCTCACAAAAATTGTAAGAACTAACAGTTTAGGAAATAAAAACCTTACCCCTTGAGTTTGCAACCATAACTCTAACACTTATGTCAAGAGATAATCTAAAAAACGAACAAACAAAAATACTCCACAATTCTTAATTAAAAAGGAAAGATACATCTTGTAATTACACGAAACAAACAAAAAATAGGATATATCAGATTGAAAAACAAACAAGAAAAAAGGCAATACTCACAAAACAAAAACAAATTATTAAACAAAGAGTTTCCAAAACACGAAACGCAGTCTGGGAATGTGACACAACTACAATACAAGAACTTGAAAATCTTTGAATTCACTGGACGACAAAAACAAACCGATAAGCTATCAAAATTTTTTCCGAGTCAGAATCCACAACAGCATCACCTATAAAAGGTAAACACAGAATAAAAAATTCATTCCTTCGTAAACCACTAAGACTCTATAAATAGAATCAACCAAAAAGGCATATTGAAAATTACACATTAAAAGTAATTTTGCAAAAAAAATTGATTCAATACTAAGAAAATTTTGACAATTATTCTATTTTTATATTTGTCATTCACCCACAAAGCGATCCCGCTAGAGGACATGTACAAATTTGCCATAATCTAACAGCAAGCTCGTTCGAAAAAGGAAATATCCCATGTAAATAAGAATTTCCTGAAAAAAAAATCAGAAGACGAGTACTCGATTACTATCTACCAGGCATCACTAATATCATTTCACATTACTGAATAATTGAAAATTTACCACCGCAATCATCAAATCAATTTTCACATCAATCACAAAAGATGATATAGAATTAGACTTCTAAACTTTTTCACAGAGTAAAACAAAATTGTTCAACATCAACTCTTCCAAAGAGCAAAGTCAATTTTCACAATTGATGTTTTCTCTTTCATTTATAGTTACGATTCTATATTAGAATCTAACGAAACGTTTTATGTATCACCACCGCAAGCGTCTCGACATGCATTTGTAAAACAAGAAATCAACCAATTCTCGAATTTTTTAGAATCAATTCGTGAAGCACTAACTGATAACGAAACAGTAATCAACACAGTAAAAATTGATATACAAAAAATTTTTTGCATGTTTCACAATTGATTTTTTTTCAACACAACTTAGATTTAGTCTCACCAGCAAGAAAAAATTTTCCAACCACAAACTTTAGACGATGAAACAATTTTAGCAGACAATACAGAAAACTAATGGTCTGATGTGTTACTTTTCAATATCCCTAACTATATTTCAAGTGCAGCAATTGCCACTGTCTCTGTACACAAATATTATTTAAGAGTAACTCCACTCAGACACCACACCCTTAAGTTATAACACAATTTTTAATGATAGGAAAGTAATAATGGTTGAAATTCAACATTTATAAATACACAAGAAACCCTTAATGGAACTCCAAATCTGACACAACAAGAGTTTCAAACCCCATCACTTTTTGTAAACGGAGAAATAGTTGAAACACTACCTACAACAACATTTCTCCTATTCATTTAATACTCACAACACCACATAACAAAAATAAAAATACTCCCTTCTCACAAACAACATTGCAATCAACAGTTAAATCAACTGTTGTTTCAAAATACTCATTTATGGATTATCGAACACATAGGCCAAAAAGAAAAACACGACAATATAACAAACAAAAATACGTTAATAGAAATAGGTTTGCAAATCGAAATTATGATTTTTTTCGGCAAATAATCATATTAGCAACCCACTAGCAAACTCTTTTTACACAGCACGTAATCAATCTCACGAACATAATTAGACCCAACGTATACCAAAACCAGTATCTCACTCAGTTTGTTTTATCCTCTTAATACACATGATAACAAAAACACAAAATGACCGAAATTTTATTGATGACTCTAATAACACAATTACGCAAAACTGCAATACAAAGCAGAGCATCACATCCATCGCCAATCCAAAAGCCGTTATAGATTTTCGAAATTGAAAAGATAAACTAGAACAAAGCGAAATCACAATGAAACTAGAAGAAACAGAAAATTTGAAACTACCATATCAGAACAACGTTCAA